TCGTCATTATGGATCATTTGACGAAGTTATAAGGAAACGAGGTATGTGACGTAATATAATTAGGATATGCGGTAAAAGTGAATAATATAACGAGCACGTGCTCCGGTGTGATGTAATAAAATGAAAATACGACGAAGAGGTCAAGTCAAATGGAATAAAATATTTGTGCTAACCGAACCGATTAGTGGATGCCTTTAAATGAGTTTTTAGTTGGAATCGATACGTGGCACAAAGCGGTGGATGAATTTGCGAGTTCACGATTGCACGAGTCGTCGGCTAAAGTGAATCGAAGCGGAAGTCGAGGATTTTCTCTGGGGTATATCCAGCGGGTGCGACAGGGACAGAATGCGGAATGAAAGAGGGGCCAATATAGTACCGGAGTCCGAACGTGTCCCTGGTACCTTCTGGATGGAAAGTGAGTGTAAAAGAGAGACAGAGGCAGATAGAGTTCTTCAGGAGCTGCGGAAGAAGGACGATAGGTGGGTACGGTGAACTGAAAATTTAATCATAATTTCGAAGTAGGAATTTCACCGGCTAATAACGCCAGTAAGGAGAGAACCGGGCAGAGGGTTACGTAGGCTAATGTAAGGTAAGGGAATCTTAATCTCGTTGGAGCGTCGGCGAACGAGCTGAAGGAGCCGGAGGAACCGTTGTACGGGGCAAGGGATGAAAAAGGGGGGCAGGAGGGTAGCTTCCAGCGACGACGGTGGTGCTGGTGGCCGCCTCGCAGATTTTCCACCTGGCACTCGCAGCCCTGGGGTGTAATTTCAGTAATTTAATTCCTTGGCTTAATAGAGGGCACCCTCCGTTATCCGCGACCGACCCTCCGCCGCCAGCAGGAGGCACCGTGGCCCGGCAGGGTAAGTCCGGAAGAAATGCAGCAGACACTTGAAAAAAGAAAATAAAACGATTGAGAATCAGGTTAGAAAAGAATTAAAGCGACCAATCCACTCTTACAGTTTAAATGTAATACCCTTGGGAAAAGAAAGGGGGAAAACAAAAAGATTCAATGCCATATTAAATCTTACGTAACCTTCAAAATCCAGATTTTCACCGAAATTTCATGCTAGCGTCGTCCTTTCGACGTGAATTAACGTTGCATTATCTAAATAATATAATTTTGGGCAGGGTATCTATGGAACTGCGGTATCACAGGATTCCGCGAACGTTCGCATGCGGTTTGGCCACGTGATATCGTCCGTCCATCACAGGAAGCCAAATCACCCCCCCCCCCCCCCCCCCCCCCCCC